GCGTGGGAAATGCTTTATTCTCTTGATAAGTAGCGGTGGCTCACCCTCCCGGTGCTGCTCTGCACTCTTTTGAGCTCCCTCCATACGATGAAGGGCCTCTGCATGGAAACAGCACTTGTTTCTTAAGAACACATTGGCTCTTAAGAGTGTCAGTAGCATGGCAGTTCCCACTGGGAGAGATGCCAGCACTGCGGACAGGTATGGAGGCAGACAGCAGTGACCAGTGTGAATAGAGTTACTTCAACAAAAAACAGGCCTATGTAGCACTTTACAGACTAACAAGATGGTTTAATAGGTGAAGAGTTACTTCAGAAATTCAGCCATGGTCAAATTACAGAGCCCAAGCAAGCGATAGCCCCCTTGCAATGCAGCTTCTGCCAAGACCTTCCCTCCCCTCAATGCTGCTTCTGCTGGGGGCCTCGGGCTTCCCTCCTTACCCTCCCCCCGCTACTGCTTCCTTCACCACTCCCTCGCCCCCGCACATGCAGCCAGTCTGGCAGCAGGAAGCTGTCACTAGCACCCCACTGCTTGCCGAAAGGAACCTGTGGGGGCAGGAAGGGCTCTGCCGTGGACAGGAGAGAGCAGCCCTGGGGAGGAGCCAGACAGGAACAAGCAGTGGCATAGCCTCAGGCATACAAGAACACACTGCTGTGTAGGGGCACCTTAACGTTTGGTGCCCCAAATTTTTGGGTGCCCTACGCAGCTGCATATTTCATGTGTGCCTATGGACGGTCCTTCAGCAATGCACTGAAGAGGCCCCTGAATGGATTCACCCCAATGAGCAATGCCATTTTTCCCCTCGTAACAGACATTCCTGGTTCAGAGAAGATGCTGTTTTAATACTGATGCTGTTGCCCAAGGACTTGTGGTGTTAGGGAGGGTCCATGGTTTTGGGTGGCTGGGACTGAGACTGGATCTGAACCTGCTGGCTGCAGACACCCAGCATGGGCCACTGAAGTGGAGGGAGAAAATAAATAGTGGACGGTGGGCTAACCGTTCTCACCCTTTCTGCCTGTGTCATAGAGAAGATGCTGTTTTAATACTGATGCTGTTGCCCAAGGACTTGTGGTGTTAGGGAGGGTCCATGGTTTTGGGTGGCTGGGACTGAGACTGGATCTGAACCTGCTGGCTGCAGACACCCAGCATGGGCCACTGAAGTGGAGGGAGAAAATAAATAGTGGACGGTGGGCTAACCGTTCTCACCCTTTCTGCCTGTGTCATAGCTGGGGAGGGACGAAAGGCTGTTGTCAAAGGAGTAAGGAGACCGAAATGGCATGAGAGTCAGGCAGATCTGAATGCCAATGAATGAGCAAAAACCATCTCCGTTAAATGGAATTCAATATCATTGGATTTTGGTATGTTCCTTGAGCAAGTGCCTGAATAAGCAGATGTGCTAATTAAATAGTGTGCCCCATGTGCATTTCTAGCTACTCAAGATTTGTTTAGCCAGTGAAGGTGTCAGAGCTAACCACTGACTTTCCTTTTAAATAATAAGTTCATACATCAGTTCATTTCTGATGTATACTTTATACTCTTGGGGGAGTTACATGGCTATGCACCTCATGTATCCCAAGCTGGGATGGACTCCTCTTTCTTTTCTGACAGCAGAGAACTTACCAGTTCTCATTTCTCTGACAAAGCAAGCCCCAACAAGCCTGGGTTCTGTCATGGCATGACATAAACTGGACTCACCTTGCCTCTCTCCTGGCCTACCACCTCCATTATCACCATGTGGGAACTTTCCTAACACCTGTGATTGTCTAAACTTCATTTGTGTTTGCAGGAAAGAACCAGAAAATGCCTGTGGGGGGGCAGCAACCTGAGGAGGAGCTGACCGAGGAAGAGCTGGCCAGATACGTTCAAGAACTGCAAAAGCATCAGGTTAGGGTGGAATCTCTGTGGCCAGTGTCTGTGTTGTACATTTCTCCTTGCTAAAGGCCTTCTTTCTCTGTACCCCAGCTATTTCCTGGCAAAGAAGGGGGCGCACTGGCTTGTGGGAAGAGGGAATTCCCTGTCTCCCTTTGGGATGGTCCCTCTAAGGCAGGTCTCAGATACATTTGATGGGGGTAGTTTGAGGGTTGAAGGTGGGAAACCAGGTCTGCTGTTGCTCAGGTTGTACTGTCCTGTGGAGAAACAGAAGCCTTCAGTCTGCTGGTATCTCTCACCAGCACTAATGTTGAACTGCAGGACCTCAATCTCATGCGCTCTCTCTGCAGGAGACAGCTGAGAAGACCAAGCGAGGGAGCACCAAAGAGATGTGAGGGGCCTCCTCGCTGGAGGAGCCCGGGGGACAGGCCAGATTCGTTGCCCTGTCCTTCAGCATCGATCTCAATATGCACAAGTGTCTGCTACCCTCGCCCAGTCACAGATATTTACGTTGTTTAGCGATGAAGTTTTTGTTTCGTTATTAATAAGAGAAGTGGGGGAGGGGAGCACAGCCCACGTGCTCGAGGGCGTCACTGCTGGGGGCTAGTGAGGGCAGGAGGGAATTATGACAGCCTCCAAGATACCCCTCATAGAGGCCATCGTCTCCATAGTCCAGGGCAAGGGTCCATTGAGGCAGTGACAGGGGATTTCTGTGCCAAAAGGAGAACCCTGGGGAAGAGGGAGATGAATGCTGGGAGTGGAGTGGAAGGGTTAACCTCCTGGGAATCTTCCCAGTCCTAGGATTTAGCGTACCCCTTCCATGGCAGCAGGAACATGTCAGGGACAGCTCTATGAACTGAGCATACGCCCTGAGGGCAAAATCAGCCAGGGACGCAGCCTCACCTCATCACATTTGTCTTCCCTGTGCCTTTCTTCCTTTTCTCAGCCCTCTTCTCTCTTTTTTTGTTGTTTTCCCATTCACCTGGCCCTGTCCTTCCCCCTCTAGGTACCATGGGCCTCCTCTCGGGCATCTCTCCTTGGACTAATGGACTCTCTTGTTGGCTGCTAAGTGAGCTGTTTAGCAAGCTTCTCCCTTCCTTCAGCCAGCCAGTCAATCCCTAGCCACTCCTCCAATGTCTTGTGGACTCCAAAGTCACACTAATCCCTTTGATGTCCTCCTAGCCCCATATCTCTCCAGCCCTCCTCCCCAAGGTGCTACATCACAGTACTCACATGCTGACTCTTTTTTTCTTCTGTTTTCTAGGGTAGCAACTGAGCTTTTGTATTTTTAGGCAGTAGCTTTAGCTCTTTCAAGAAAGCACAACCATTACTATTGAAAGTGCTGCAGTTCCTGTGCACGATTTGTATTTGCCTGCACGTGCAGTCAGTGCAACAACTTCTAAGCCCAAAGGTTCAGGACGCGGCTCAGTTTGGTGCTGCAGTGTCCCCTGTAATAGAGAGAGACAGGATTCAGTATAGTAAATATAAAGGGGATTCTTTACTGAGCCTGCTGGACAGACAGACCCTGTGGTTCTTTCTCTGACTCTGGTTTGCAGACTGTCACAGCCTGTGCTGCCAGATTTTATTGCACAAGGTCTCCCTAAATCACATGCGCCATTCCAGGCATGCAGTAAACAAGGGACAGAAGGATTGTACCAATATTTAGTTTGCTATCTCGCTAGCCTTTAATATATCTGTCCCCAGCAACCTGGGGCATAAGTGATCATCTCTCTTCCCTCTGTCCCATTGGAGGACATATTGTCTTTGGCCTGTGTTCTGAGGTTCTGTGATGAGGGAGCTGCCCATGGCCCTGTGGCAGCCTGCCAGACCTCTGTGTGCAGGTCAGTCCATCTGTGATCATTGTCATTTCCCTTTCTGGATCATTTTCTTGTGGCCTCTTTTGTTTTCTCTGAACACTGGGCCTAGTTACAGCTGTGATACCCTTTGAGGAAATGGCATTTTGTCAGTGGCCCCCTCCTCTCAAACCCAATGGGTTCTCCTGTTATATGCAACTTTACTGCATGCCTACACACATACATGCCCATCTCCCTATGCCAATCATGCCCCTGGTGCCCATTCCAGCCCCTATGCTTAGGCTGAGTCAAGATGGTTCTAGCTTCAGTCTTCTCCCTTTGAATGAGCATCACCTGCAGACCCCAGTGATTACTCAAGCAAATCCCATTGGGCTGAGTAAGGCCTCAAAACACTTTCTAGGCAGAGGAGAGGAAGAGTTAGTCCCTAATGAGTGCAGGGAAAGAAGAAAGCTTGAACTCTGGTACAGTTATCTGCTTGTCTCCTGAACTGTTGTCTTCATCTTGATGTTGCCACCGTCTCTGCCTCCAGTGGATTTCAGATACACAGGGCTGGACTCTGATCTCAGTAACACCTTTGTAACTCTATGGTATCTCCATTGACTTCAGTGCTGTTACTCCAGATGTACACCAGCGGGAGATCAGAATCAGCCTGCAGTGCTTTGAGGCAACAAAAATTGTTAGGGGTATGGAACAGCTGCCATGTAAGGAGAAATTAGTAAGACTGGGACTTTTCAGCTTGGGGAAAAAAGATGACTAAGGGGGAATATGATAGAGGTCTATAAAATCATGACTGGTGTGGTGAAAGTGAATAAAGAAAAGTTAATTACTCCTTCCTATAATACCAGAATTAGGGGTCACTAAATAAAATTAATAGGAAGTGGATTTAAAACAAACAAAAGGAAGTTCATTTGGTTTGGAAGTGGATTTAAAACAAACAAAAGGAAGTTTGTTTGGTTTTTTACACAGCGCACAGTCAACCTGTGGAACTCCTTGTCAGAGGATGTTGTGAAGCCCAAGACTATAACAGGGTTCTAAAAAGCGCTAGATAAATTCATGGATAGGCCAACCAATGGCTATTAATAAGGATGGATAGAGATGGCCTTAGCCTCTGTTTGTGAAAAGCTGGGACTGGGCAACAAGGGATAGATCACATGATAATTACCTGTTCTCTTCATTCCCTCTGGGACCCCTGGCATTGGCCACTGTCGGAAGATACTGAGCCATACAGGGCTAGATGGACCTTTGGTCTGACCTAGTATGGCCGTTCTTATGTTCTTGTAAGGATTTGGAGCTGATTCTGCACTCATGTTGGTGTAAATAAGGAGCAATGTCTATGGCATTACACCAGGTTTATACTGGTGTGAATGAGAAGTGAATTAGCTTCTAGAACTCAGTGGGAGGGTGGAATCCCAGTCTGAGAAAAACAGTGCTACTCTGGGAATTCAGAATGAAATGTTTTTGTTCCTTCTCCCCTGTGAGTGGTACCAGAGGAATTGGCTGGTGAGATGAGAATGCCTGATAAACATGCCCCCTTTTCTTCCCACCTACTCCATAAATAGACATAGGCGCACATTGGGTCTGGAGTCACTGCCACACTATTTTCATTCTTTGCCTTAGTCTGAAATAGCAAACGTAGCTCAGACCTCCCACCTCCTTTCCTACCACCTTCCAGCAGAGACCACTTGCCCCATTAAAGTGCCTTAGGGAAAATGCAACACCATGCCTTAAAAAGCAAACATTCTCGTCAGTGGGAAGAACAGCTTATTTTCCAACCAGTAAATCCCAAAGTGGGAAAAGTCAGCTCAAGAGCTGAGCATGAGGGGGAGGTGCCTAAACTGTGTCTGAAAGCTTTGTGCATCTTGCAGAGATATGTAACAGGGCCTGTGATAGTTCTCCGATGTACTGCAGGTGTATATGTTGTGGAGTTTACAGTTCCTGGTGTGCAATGCAGTTGTTAAGTTGCTTATGTCGTCATGGAGCATTGACTGCTGTGATCTGTAGTCTCCACAGTGTGACCCTAATAAAACTGTAGCCACAGTCTGCACCAATTTATGCCAACTACATGACATGCTAGACAGGCCACAAGAGTGACCCTCAGTGAGGCAAAGTCTGAGTGTGTGAAATTTCACTGTCCCACAGATCAAAGCAGGGCAACTGGGGCACAGTTAATTACCCTGTGTAGAGACAGAGCTGCCTCCTACAGAACCTTTTCATGTCCTTTTCTTTGTGTTTCCTAAAAAGAAAAATATCATCTAAGGTGTAACATGTCGAAAACATTGTTGGTTTCAAGGGCTATTGTATCCAAATGGTACATGAACATCTGTCAAGTCGAAGGCTATACATTACAAGATATAATGTAAGGAACAGTCCTACATAGGCTGAGGGGTAAAGAACCATGTCACACACCAGGCTTTTCTGTCCCTAACTCGTAGGTGGGATCTGGCCAATGAGTCAGGGAAATGCTGAGCTCCAAAAACCGTTCTCTGGGATATTCACTGTAGAGTCTGCAAGGGGTAGGGACGGCATTTTTTACAAAAGCCAACACACTAACCCCTTCTGTATTTCCCTTATGTATGTGTGTGAAATTTATCAGTATTCTGTAGGTTTCATTAGTGCACTTATTTTACTTGGTTTTGTATTTTTTGTGGGGAGGGAGTTGGATATAACTGCCAAATAAACAAAACAAAATCATGAAATTCATTTGTACATTTTCTTTTTTATCAAACCAAAATAGACTCAGCTTTATGATTTCTAAACTCCCTCTACAATGCTCACAATCTCTCTTCCTTTATCAGCAATAAAAATAATAGTGTTCATTATTTGCACTTACAGACAAGACTCAAAGCACTTTACAAGGTGGGTCACTATCATTTTCCCTATTTTACAAACAGGAAAACTGAGACACAGAAAGAGGAAAGGGTTTGCCCACAATCATGAGCGAGCTAGAACCTAGAATTCCTGAGTCCCAGTCAGAAGCTCTAATCATTAGTTGCTGCTGCTGCTTCCTAATCCACTCCATATCTTCTTCCCAATCTGCTTGTTGAGTTTTGATACGTCTACACTGCAAGCTTTTTTCTCAATAAGCTTTTCCAGAAGATATCTTCCAGAAAAGCTTATTTCAAAATAGAGCATTCACACTACAGGGAAGCCTCAAAATTAGTCCAAGGCAGGCTCCCCTAATGTGGACGTGCCATCTCAACTTAGAGCCCTAAGAAGCACTGGGGAGGATTCACTTCAGAATGGCCCTGGTGAGGAGCGGTTTCAACATAGCAGCAGTGGAGCATCTACACACACCCTCTTCTGAAAAGGCTTTTTCAAAAAAGGGCTTATTCCTTATGGAATGAGATTTACTGCCATTGGAAAAAGCCCTCTGTTATTTCGACTTTCTGTGAAAAAATAACAGTTGCAGTGTGGATGCTAGTATTGTTTTTTTTGGAATAACTGCCATTATTTTGGAAAAACAGTGCAGTGTAGATGAACCCTTACTCATGCAATGTAGTCAAAAAAGGCCAACACATTTCTTACCATGGTGTGTTTGTACGGTGCCAAGCCTGATGGGGCCTAGCTAGGATGTGGCCACAAGATACAGATTTAGCAATAATCCAAGGGCCTCTCTTTTCCATGTGGTATGTGTGAACGAGTCTGGAATAACAAACAAATGGCCAAACACTGCATGATTTTTAATCCTGGTACTGACATTCACTTGCTATGTTTGGGGGACAGTAGAAAAGGCTGCACGCCATGGCTGATAGTTCAGTAGTCCTTTGTGGGAACCACACAAAGCACAGATATGTGGCCTTCACTGAAGCATTCTGTGCTGGGGCTGATAAAAAGTACCCTAAATGCAGGTTGGCAGGATCAATGAATTAAAGTTTGTAAACTGCTTGTTATTCTCCACATAGTAGTAATTCTCCCAGACCTGATAGAGATCTTTACAATCAGGCATAGCAAATGCCAGGCCCCACTTCTCCATATAACACAGCTGTCCTACACATCAGAGTCCCCACCAGTTGCAGGTTTCATAGATCCTAAAGCAGCCTCTGACCTGCGGGGATTTGCATCCATTCTACACCTTGAGCCCGGAGGTACTGCTGTGAAACAACAGGCATTGTTGGTGCTTGCTGCTTGTAACAGCAGTTTTGGAGTCAGCACCATATTCCTTTAGGCTACGTCTACATTGCGGGCTTTTTGTGCAAGATCGGCCGTTCTTGTGCAAAAACTTGCAGAGCGTCTACACTGCACATGCATTCTTGCACAAGTAAATTTACAGTAAGAAGTTGGAACAGAGGGCTTCTTGCACAAGAATTATTCCTTTCCCCGTGATGAATAAGCCCTCTTGCACAAGAAGGCAGTGTGGATAAGCAACGAGTTTCTTGTGCAAGAAATCCCTTCCGCTAAAATGGCCATCAGAGCTGTCATGCGCAAGAGAGAGTCCACACTGCCATGGACGCTCTTGTGCAAAAGCACATGGCAGTGTGGACACGCTCTTGCGCAAGAACTTTTGTGCAAGAACTCTTGCACAAAAAGCCTGCAGTGTAGACGTAGTCTTAGTGTTGTAAACTGCTGGCAGTATTAGAATCCACAGCAGAAACATAGGGGCTGCGTCTAGACTGGCAAGTTTTTCCACAAAAGCTACTGCTTTTGCGGAAAAACTTGCCATCTGTCTACACTGGTCACTTGAATTTCCGCAAGAATACTGATGATGTCATGTAAGATTGTCAGTGTTCTTGCGGAAATGCTATGCTGCTCCCATTCGGGCAAAAGCCCTCTTGTGCAAATGCTTTTGCGCAAGAGGGCTAGTGTAGACAACGCGTTATTGTTTTGCGCAAAAAAGCCCCGATCGCGAAAATGGCAATCAGGGCTGTCTTGCACAAAACCGTGTCTAGATTGGCACAGACGCTTTTCCGCAAAAAGTGCTTTTGCGGAAAAGCGTCCGTGCCAATCTAGACGCTCTTTTCCGCAAATGCTTTTAACGGAAAAATTTTTCCTTTAAAAGTATTTGCGGAAAATCATGCCAGTCTAGACGTAGCCAGGATGGGAAAATTGTGTGGCAAAGCTACGTTCCAGCCCATCATCTCAAAGCTATTGCTTCAAAACCCATCCAAGCTGGAGCAGTCTGTGCACTCAACAAAAAGGCTCTAGGTCAGAGCTACTCAACTTTGGAAGCCCTGGGGGGCTACAATAATACTCACAGCACATGCTGAGGGCCAAGATTTAAGTGTGGTTGCACATACATACAAATATACAATATATGCAAATAGCTTTCACACTGATGGGCATGAATACAAAGCTTAAGGCAAAACTCTGCAACACACAGGCCCTATTTAAGTCAGTTCTGCTGATATTAATAAAATGCAATATTAACCTGATTTCCAACAATATGACAGCACTTTTAATGAGCAGTGACAGTCCAGGAATGTAACTACTAAAACACATATTAACAGAAGACCATTATATTGACTACTTTTTTGTTTTGGCTCCCACCTGGGCTGTGTGTTGAGTCCCGTGTAAACCCAAACTACACTGCAGGCCACAAACAAATGGGCTGCGGGCCGCATGTGACCCATGGGCAGAGCCAGCCCAAAGTACGGGCCAATCGGGTGCCCGCCCAGCGCGCCCCATTGTAGGGGGCACCGTGCAGGGCTGTGCTGGGGCGGCAACGTGCATGCGCTGCACGCCCAAGGCAGCCCCAGCCCGGCCCAGCAGCCCTGCACGGGGCCACACATGCACTGCTCAGCTGAGGCGGGGGCCGCGCATGCGTTGCATACCCGGGGGTGGTGCCACGCTCCCGGAGCGCACAAATGGCTCGGGCTGGCCCTGCCCGTGGGCCATGTGTTGAGTAGCCCTGTTTTATGTGCACGAACTATACTTTCTCCAGCTGCCCTGGCCACACCTTCCAGGCCAACCATGTCCATTTTTAGTTAGTACTGCTGCCTGGTGGAGGAAAAGTTCCAGCCCTTTTATCCCACAGCTGGTGCCTACTGGCTGAGTTTCTATCAGCAGAGCCCATGTCCTGTCAAAAAATGAGGTGACTCTAACCCTGGATTTATTATTCCACTGCTTCACTGGCACTTTTCCCTATTGATATCACTTGCCAGCATCCTGCTGGCTCTCTCGGTTTGTTTAAATCCATCTCGCATTTCACATGATACACAATTTTTTTTTTACCTGGTGACGCCACATTGCATCATCCACAATTATTACTAGCTGCATGGCCAGTTTCCCCTGTAAATGACTCAAAAATATACTGTAGAAAACAGATTCAACCACTTTATACTCCATGGAGCAATTCAGTACAGTAACTCCTCACTTAACCTTGTCCCAGTTAATGTTTCATTGTTACATTGCTTATCTATTAGAGCACATAACTCGTTTAAAGTTGTGCAATGCTCTCTTACAACGTCATTTGGCTGCCTGCTTTGTCCACTACTTGCAGGATTTTTTGAAAAAACAGCTTCTCCTTGTGGGGATTTGGAACCAGGAGAGCTGGTAGCCCCCCATTAGCTCCCCTAAGAGCTAATGCAAGGATTGAGTGTTGGGGGATCCCATTTATGGGGTTACCAGGGAATGATTCAATCCTAGATGTCGGACTTACACCCTAACTGTAGTGGCCTCTACGATCTTTGTGTCACTGGGGAACAATTGGCATATAGGAAAACCTTGGCCATGCTTCCTCCTGCCTGACTCCCTACCTACATAGACTCATAGAGCACTAGAACTGGAAGGGACCTTGAGCGGTCATCAAGTCCAGTCCCAACACCATCTAGATCATCCCTGACATCTCCTGAAAGATCGCTGGCACCTGCCAAGGAGGCTCTCTTCACAGGATGCATTCCCCAGTGCAGGCTTTTACACCAACTTTGTGTTTCCCTTCCTCAGTGGGTCTAATTCAGAGGTTATTTAAATGGGGAGGAGTGTCAGTTAATGGGATTAAAGGAAACCAAATCAGTATAACACACATGCTGAAGGACCCAGATGTACATTTCATCAGCTTAGACCAGTTGCCTCCAACCTTTTTAAGCACAAGATCACCTCTTGATTTTAAGTCAGTCCAGGATCTACCTCAATCCCAACTACCCCTTCCCTACCCCTTCTCCAAGTCCCTGCCTCTGGCCTACCCCTTTGCTGAGGCCCTGCCCTTCTCACTCTGTGAAGTGGGGTACAGGAGAGGGGGACAGTGATATCAGCACCCCCCTGCCTCTGTCTCCCTCACCCTGCACAAGCAAGAGGCTCCCAGGGAGCAGCTCTGTGGCTCTGGGCAGGAGCAGCAGGGCAGCGCAGGGAGGGGCAGTTGAGTGCAGGCACTTGATAACCTCCCAGCCAAACCAGTCAGGATCACCTGTCAGAGGCTCCAAGATCTACAGGTAGATGCCGATAAACTGGTTGGTGACCACTCGCTTAGACTCACTTCTTTAGCCTCGGCTCTGAATTTGGCCCCTTTGTAGTAATGGAGTAAACTGCAGGATCAGAGTCCACCTTCACAATCTAAAGCATAACAAAACCAGGAAAAGTAAGTTTAGACTTCTATTGTTATTTCAGCTTCAGTACTCTAGTAACTAGAGATGGCTGAAAAATGAAAAAAAAAATGCAATAAAACTTTAAAGTTCTTTTCTTTTTCCAGAAATTAAAATAGACCTATTTTTCATCAAAATGGTTACCAAAATTTGAAACATGTAATACAAAATATGAAAAACATGTAATGCAAAATATTGATAACAGCATCGAACAAAAAGGTGGTTTAAAAAACAACCATTGTTCTATAAAAATAAATTTAGTTCAAAAAATTCTCTTCAGTTCTGTCACTAATTAACATGGGTAAACTATTGTTATCCATTTTTAACATGAGCAGTTAGCCATTTTTGAGACTCCCAAGGAGTCCTACCATTAGGAGGAGACTGATAGTGCCACCTGGGTTGGTTTTTTTTTATGCAAACCTGTTTATTTAAAAAGAATGTACAAAGTCCTGTTTCCCTGAAGACAGGAGAACTCAAACAACAGGAAACTCTGTCTTTACTCACAGTTCCAAGCTCCTTTCCAGTCAGCACTCTCACCAAAAACTCTACCCCAGTGTTTCTCAAACTAGGCTCCATGGACCCTAGGGGCCTGCAAGGGAACGCCTAGGGGTCCATGGTCACCACTGATCAACTCTTCCCTCCTAGTTCCTCCTGGGGCCCTCACTCTGGGGCTAAGTTAGGCACCCTACCTGCCCTGGTTTTGTGCAGCTTCCAGCAGCAACCTCCAAGTCTCTGCAGACCCTAGATACAGGAGGCTCCATACGCTCCTCCTGCCTGAGTACTGGTTTCCCAGCTCCCATTGACTAGGAACCATGACCAATGGGAGCTGTGGAGTTGGCGCCTGCAGGCACGATGGCAGCACAGAGCTTGAGTGCCAGCTCTGCAGCTCCCATGGGCTGAGAATTGCAACCAATGGGAGCTGCAGGGATGGTGCCTGCTGGCATGAGGGCAGCGTGCAGTGTCTACCTGGCCAACTCTGCATCTCGGGGCCACAGGGACCTGGCAGCTGCTTCTGGAAGCCGTAGTAAGTGCCACTGGGACTTTGTGCTGGGGGAGGGAGTCAGGGTGCAAAGTCCCCTCATACACCTCAAACCCCTCATCCCTGACCCCACCCCAGAGCCCATATCCCCAGCCAGCGCCCTGATCCTTTCCCACATCCCAATCCTCTGCCCATCCTAGTGAAAATGAGGGTGAGGAAGAGCAAGCAATACAGGGGTGGAAAAGGGGTGGAACTGGATGTCCCTAAAAATATTTAAATCAAAATGGGGGTCTTTGGGTTGCTAAAGTTTGAGAACTGGTGCTCTACCCCCAATTTTTTTTCCTCGGTGATACTATCAAGGTTTCTTTGGTTGTGCCTGAGCCTTGTTTTCTCTCTCTGTGTGTTTCCTTGAAGCTTCTTTCACACATATACAGGTTCACAAATCAATCTAGATCAGGCAACCTGAAGGGAAACCACAGGGGCCACATGGTTCAGTTTCTACTCCAGCCTTGCCATATGCCTATGTGTTGGGTGGTGACTTCTACTGTTGTAGCTATTGATTTAAAAAAAAAAAAGTTTGATTGGTTCTTCCGTTTTTCAAGAATGATGGGCAGTGGCTATGCCCATCAGCTTGCATGATGGACTGCCTAATCCTGCATCATAATTCCTCCCTGGAGGAACTCAATTAACATACTACTGGCAGATGAAGTTGCTTGAAATCAGTGCATCATTGATGCCAGCACAGACAGCCCTGTTCTGTGACATCTGTAACACCTTTCAATGATTTTTGCACTGCTGTACACTGACTCAGGAAGACTTATCTCACTTTGGGTCTAGAGCAGTGATGGGCAACCTAGGTTAATGAGTGGCCGCACGAACGTCCCTCCTCCATCTCAGTGGGCCACAAGATTGTTATAACCAAGATGGTCTCCTAAGATAGTTTTGCTAATTGCGCTTGTATGCCTAGAATTTGTGGGGTGTACCAAATGAACTGTAGCAGCACTTTGACTGGCTGCAGAGGGAGTGTACAGCTCTCACAGTGAATGTTGTGTGTCATCAGCAAGCACCTCACTTCATGAGCTCTTGTTTTGTGTGTGTCAGGTTAGTAATAACAGTAAGAAATAAAACCGATGGGTGCGTCTAGACAGCACCCTTCTGTCGGACTAAGCTACGCAATTTGCACTATGCATATTGCATAGCTTATTCTGAGTCTAGGTCGAAAGAGTTTATTTTTAAATTCAGCACTGTGCAGACAGCACCAAATTTCAAAATAAGGCGCTAGTCTGACAAATCTCTGAACATTACAGAGATGCTGGAATAGTGTGCCTGCTATTTTGGGAAATAGCGGGCGTTTTTAAAGATGCGGTGTTGCTATTTTGGGATACTTTCGGTATCCTGACATAGCGCCGCAATCTAGACGTACCCTAAGCAAATGGAAACCAGCGGAATTTGGCAACCCTGTGCATGGGCAACATTAAACAAAATGCCTTGAGGGACACACATAGAACCCAGATGGGCCAAATGCAGCCCCCAGGACGCAGGCTGCCCACCACTGCTCTAGAAAGTCAGGTAAAGAGTTTGGGGCAGATTCTTTGTCCCAAGCAAAGTTTGGAGTGATAGTCAGAAGCAACACGCAGGGCACAAGATATCCCCCCGTGTCTGAAACTAGTGGGAAAATAAAAATGCGGCTGCAAGCCAGACAGCCCAGTCTGGCTGCATCCCCAGCCAACTCCCCACCCTGGGAGCCTTTCC